GCTGTAAATTAAAAAACAGATCAAATTAATATGTATTCATTTTCTTATATGAATCACTGCTGTTGGAACAACTCATATCTCCAAAATGGCAACTTTACAGGAGAAGGAAAAAACATACTTTACTTATAATGTAATGGAACCAGACTTTTCTCCAAGTCATTTTGGGCCGTTTACTTTGGTCCATTCATCGTTAAATTTACACACAATGTAAAGACCAACAGGCATTTTTAAATTATGACAAAAACGTAAAAAATGACAAAAATGGAGATACAAGGTTTTGTTCCGACAGCAGCAATATATTTACCTATCTCTATTAATAATATGCACCATATATATGTATGTATATAAGTAAGTATAACTATACATAACTTAAATAAGGCATTTTTCTGCAAATTTTAGTGTGCAATTTTTATTTATTTGCTGGCTTTCACATAAAATGTAAAATGTTCCATAACTTTCACATAGATCACATTGTTTTGTTCAGCAAATTTCAGTAAATTCATCATTATCATTGCTGTCAGAACAAAACCTTGAATCTCCATCGTTCTTGTTCTGCAAACGAGTTCACAACATCTCAACTACTTTTTGGGAAAAAAAGTCTTGTTACTTTTTCACTGTATTGATGTTTGTTTGCATTTATTCTAATGAGATTGTGATTTTACAGGCAAAAACCAACTTAACGCCACACTTAATACACACTTAATAATAAAGGTAAATTGTTTTAAATCATGTGTTTGGGTGCCTACAACCCTTGCACATTATGTTCCATATGTAGGGGAGAGTGGGGCACAACCTAACACATTTTGTTTTTTCTGAAATAATTTTAAAATATTTAAGCTGGAATAATCATGTTTTTATACAAGCAACATATACATCTCTGCTACAAATGAACACTTAAACTTTGTTTCTAGCTCCTACAGTTCATGTACAATTCCACCCAAAATGAGGGGAAGTGCAGTGATATGGTTTAGCCCATGGGTGAGTTCACTGTAACAGGCAGAGGGTCAGTTTAACACTTACTAGAAATTTCTGGTGGATTAGTGCAAACAAAGTTAATTCACTGTAATTCTATAAGAAACAAATGTATTTTATATATAACTGTACTGCATTATATCTTATCTATCTATAAAACAGGCAGACAGATCAATTGGTAGATACACACATCAAATTATATATAAACACTGATATGAGACTGTGTGTCAAACAATGACAGATTCATTTCTTGACCTGTTTGGACAGCAAATAAAAAATCACACATCAGTAAATATGGAACATTGTTTCTGAATAACTACAGCTTTACCAACTGTTAATATCAATTTTATTAATATACTTATTTACGACTGAAATACTGACATCTGAAAGACACAAATAAAGTAGACGAAAAACCCTGTTTTCAGATGTTTTCTCTCTTTCATTTTAAAATCTGTGTAAAGATATGGAATAAAAAGACAAAGTTTATTTTATTTGTCTTTGTTCACTAAAGGTGGCTTAGTTGTAGTGCAGTGTTAGAACTAACCCGCAGTATGGAGGCTGTACTTAAGCCTAACTAGCACTTGCTGTGAGCTTGTCAGCTGCTTCAAAACAGTGCTACGTTGTTGGAAACAAGATGGTGATTAAAGTAATGTAAGGTTGTATTTTGTGATTTACACAAACAGCTCAGTAACCGAAAAAACTTCTGTTGAAAAAAAAAAGATTACATGCCCTGAAAACACTCTTTGGCACAGATCTCATTAAAACATTGATGAATCACTCTGAATTTTGGTGGGAGACCATGGCTTGGAAGTGTGGTGATGTGGTCAGAAGCACAGCCTCCTTGACCTCGTATAACAACGTAAACAGTCTGTGTTAAATTGTCCCCCGCGTTAGGCTGTTCCCCGCGCTCCTCTATTATGGATTACTATTTAACCTAACCCAAAAAACTCTTTCTGCATTTTCAGTTTTGAAAAATAAAACAATGAGTTTTTGTTTAAAAAAGGGTTTTTATGAAACAGAACCTACCTACCATCTATGTCCATAAAAGATATGAACAACAGCCTGAACAGTTGTGATTGAGACTATATTAACATGTGAAAGAAATAATGCAACAACAACAATTTGGTTCAACCACATTCCTTCTAAAACCCTGCTAAGCTGCGTTCTCTCCCACGCAGGCGGATCAAACCGTCTCAGAAAAGACGACCGGCAGCAGGTTCACTTGACCAGATCCCAACCATCCAAGGTGGTTCAGTCACACCGGTCAGATCTGGAGACAGCAGCTCTGCAGACCAGGCTGAAAACAACAGAAGCAGCAGCCGGGAGAAGCTGGAGCCAACTCAGCGCTCGGTGACCACAGAGAGAAGCCTCTCAGACCACGTCAGAATTAGACTTCCCAAAGTGAGCTCCAGAACTGGCTTTGGTCTTCCAATCGATCGCATTGGGCACGGACGGCTGCCCAGCGGACGAAGATAGAAACATTTTTACCACAAACTTTCTTCAAGGTTCGGTCAAAAGGCTAATTTACACAATCCTCTCTCTTACCCCAAATATAGCCGATCAACCCAGACACAATCTGTTCTGAAGTTTGCTTGTTTGATTTGGAACTGAAGCTAATACAAGTAATAGAAGCCTACAGTACCATTAGCATCATGCTAACTGCATGAAATCATCGCACGCTTACCTTGAACCGTGCAGAACGGTTAAGCAATCTCTAATAGACTTGCTTGTGGTTTCTATCACTGTATGATACACTGTAATCTATAAAAATAGACAAAAGCACAAACAAAATTCAAGCTTCGATGTTGCTGATACTGTATTTAGTTAGCATGACATACTTTTGTCCATGTTGGTGGGCAACAGCGCATCATACAGAGTCAGAAACCACATAAACAAATCCATTAAAGTTTTCTTAACAACTGGACACGATGTGAGGAAAGAGATAATTTAGGTATGTTAGCAAGATGCTAATAGGTGTGGTCTAGCTTGTTAGCTACATTAGCCTAATAGCTTACGTTTACATTTACAGCATTTAGCAGACACTTTTATTCTAGCAATGTAAAAAGTGCTTTGTTGCCCTATCAGAATATCTAATTTCTAGCTAGTGCAAATAGGGTAGAGACTAAAGACAACCTTGAGCTAAGATGCCACCAGAAACAAGAGTCAATAAAAAAATAAACAGTATCTGATACCCAGATAAAAAATAAGACATTTCATGCAGCGTCTTGAAGGATGGTGGGTCAAGCCGGGCCATATTTATAACTCGAAGGACTCCAGGTGCAGATAAAGTTTTATCTATTGCCTGGCCCTTCTGGGTTTGTCCGACACATGAGGGCGCATGAGTCCACAGTGAATGGGCTCCTATGGAATCGCTCATTTTCTCAACGAAGAACAGCATAAAATATTTCAACACTGCTGTCATATTTTTGAGTGCTTTTCAACTCCAGTTATAAGACTTTCTAACAATGTCTTATATGCATTTATGACCTCAGTGAGCACAAACCACTTTACTCCGAAAATGAGCTGATCAGCTCACCAACCAATCAGCTCTCAGAAGCAGTAAGGCCAACCAAACAGCTCTCAGTAGCAGTAATGCAAGCCAGTCAGGTTTCAGTAGCAGTAGTGCCAGCCAATCAGCTCTTAGTAACAGTAAGGCCAACCTGTCAGCTCTCAGAAGCAGGAAGGTCAACTAATCAGCTCTTGGTAGCAGTAATGCCAGCCAATCAGCACCCAGTAGCAGTGAGGCCAACCAATCAGCTCTCAGAAGCAGTAATGTAAGCCAATCAGCTTTCAGTAGCAGTAGTGCCAGCCAATCAGCTCTTAGTAGCAGTAAGGCCAACCCGTCAGTTCTCAGAAGCAGGAAGGCCAACCAATCAGCTCTTGGTAGCAATAATGCCAGCCAATCAGCACCCAGTAGCAGTGAGGCCAACCAATCAGCTCTCAGAAGCAGTAAAGCCAACCAATCAGCTCTCAGAAGCAGTAAGGCCAACCAATCAGCTTTCAGTAGCAGTAGTGCCAGCCAATCAGCTCTTAGTAGCAGTAAGGCCAACCTGTCAGCTCTCAGAAACAGGAAGGCCAACTAATCAGCTCTTGGTAGCAGTAATACCAGCCAATCAGCACCCAGTAGCAGTGAGGCCAACCAATCAGCTCTTGGTAGCAATAATGCCAACTGATCAGTGCCATTAAATCAGATTTTAGTAGCAGTAATGCTAACCAGTTAGCACTCAGTAGCAGTAATGTTAGTGTCCCACTGCCCAAAACCTGTTTGCTAGAAAAACGGAAAGATACTGGTATGTTTTATTTGTTTTTTAGAATACATAATTTTATCTTTGTAAAATTGAAAACTCCCACATAAATGGCTAGAAACACATTTTTCCTTTTTTCAGCCGTTTAGCTCCACTTACCTGCATTCACTGAGAACTCACTTGCAGACGCCCTCTAGTGTTTGGCAGTCTATTTTCTTGTTATAATGGGAGAAATAGGAAGGGGCCAGGCTCCCCTGAATGTGGCTCTGCCGTTGCCATCAGGTAGGAAGGGGCTGGTCCAGGGTCTTCACATGTGAGCATCAAGCTTTTAAATCTGATTTGGGGTAAGGTGGGGGGGGGTGGGGGGGGGATTGGGAAGATTTGATTTTTGTCCAAAACACTGCTTTCAAATTCTCTCCAGAATATGTTTCTGTTTAAAGTGAATGTCTCCTTGTTAAGTTGCTAAGTGTTTGCAGTGGTAAATGTATGTGTAGATCTTGCCGTGATCCTGGTAGATAAAATCTCACTGAACACATGTGGGTTTAATGTGCTTTATTTGATGCAGAACTCACTCTCCAAAATCAGTTTCACAAATCATTTAAATAGCATTATGATAAAATTAAGAATGCTAACAAGCCCAAAAAGAAAGAAGGCAGAGTTTAATAGTTTTAAAGAAATGCAAACATAAATAAAACTGTGTCAACATTGTGGCAATATGAAAAATAAAGGCACCATTTAGAGGAAACCATGAAACCGTAATCAGGTGTCAGACCAAAAGGGTGGTCAGCAAGCTGTCCATGATTTCCAGTAGTAATTTCTACACCCAGGTTTGCGCTTTTTCTCCTCCGTTTTGGTGTTGAAAGTTGCGGCCTCCTCTTGTCGCTTCATGACGTCCCTCTCGTCTGATGAATGTTCTCTGAAGGGTGTGGCGCTCTCCAGTTTGTTTTGTTTTAAGGCTATGCGCCATATGACAAAATCTGGAAAAATGTAGCCGTCAGGTGCCTAAAAATCAAAACAGATCATTATTTTACACTTCTGAACAATCTAAGGGAGGATTATGTGTGAAAAACATACGCAAAAGTCATCAGATCACTAATTAACGTCTATGGGCCAGATTTACTAAGACAGGCCCTAATCAGACCGTCTACTTTGCGCTGGTGGGGCGGCCAGTTTAGCAGGTTATCTCCTGAATGTTTCCAATAGAGGTCAATGGCAGAGGTCAATCTGTCCATAAACTTCTAGTACACATGTGTTTAAAGAGCTCATGTACTTTTCCTTGCATTTCCAACCCCTTAACAAGCCTTGGGCCAGCTGGCAGGCCCAAAGTCTTATTACACACTTCTATAACCTAAGAATAGCTCCATTCGTTTGTATTGAGGTCCCTGTAGTTACTGAATAATAAGACTTTCTATGAAATAAATCTGGATTGTTTGATGTGGAATATAAACTTTGATGAATTTTCAAAACATATCACACCATCCCCAGTTCAGATATGTAGACTAGACTGCAGAAACAGCCACCTTGGAATTAAGTGTTTTTGTGATGTCACTCATTTACATATGTTCATCTATTCAACCTCCAGCAGTTTAGCCTCGCCCACTCACGCTTAGGTTATAAGGAGTGTTTCAGCCTTGATTTTGAGTGATGCACAATACAGGCCAGCCAATCAGAACAGAGCTCATTTGCATACACCAATCAGGCATAACATTATGAACGCCTCCTTGTTTCTACTCTCATTGTCCATTTTATCAGCTCCACTTACTATATAGGTGCACTTTGTAGTTCTACAGTTACAGACTGTAGTCCATCTGTTTCTCTGCATACTTTGTTAGCCCCCTTTTACCCTGTTCTTCAGTGGTCAGGACCCCCATGGACCCTCACAGAGCAGGTACTATTGGATGGTGGATCGTTCTCAGCACTGCAGTAACACTGATGTGGTGGTGGTGTGTTAGTGCGTGTTGTGCTGGTCTGAGTGGATCAGACACAGCAGTGCTGCTGGAGTTTTTAAACACTGTGTCCACTCACTGTCCACTCTATTAGACACTCCTACCTTGTCAGTCCACCTTGTAGATGTAAAGTCAGAGACGATAGCTCATCTGCTGCTGCACAGTTTGTGCTGGTCATCCTCTAGTCCTTCATCAATGGTCACAGGACGCTGCCCACTGGACGCTGTTGTCTGGATATTTTTGGTTGGTGGGCTATTCTCAGTCCAGCAGTGACACTGAGGGTTAGGGTTAGGTTTAAAAACTCCAGCAGCATCGCTGTGTCTGATCCACTCAGACCAGCACAACACACACTAACACACCACCACCACATCAGTGTAACTGCAGTACTGACAATGATCCACTACAGATGCAGCAGATACAGCTTAGGTAGAAATAATACTGCAGTTTTCCTTTAAAATTCCAGCAGTGACTTTAATGACTTACTTGTTCGTGGTCAGAAGCGATGCGCACTGCGTCCACATCTGGATTCAGCAGCAGACGTGAAGACTCTATCAGCGTACAGTCGACTGTCAGTGCCAGGCACACGAGCAGGAAGGCGCAGTGGAACAGCATTATTCCCGTCTTCTGCTGCACTACAGGTTCTGCCTAAAGAAGGGACTGTAAGTGTTGGTTCTAATTCAGAAGGTATGGGTGGTCTTTTATGCCCACCCTGACGTCATATGGGACATAATGGGGATCAGTCTCAATTTCCAAGAATTTCAGTCATCATTAATTTGTCCATAAAACTCTGGCGCATCACTTTTATTTACAAGCCTAGTTTCACGTGAAGTCATTAAGGAAAGAACACATAAAGCAGGGACCACTTGCCATAAAACATCTTGGGCCAGTATTAAGCCTAGTTTGGGACTAAATGTCCCAGTGCATTTGAAATTCATTTTAGTCTAAGATTCGCCTAAATCTGGTTCTGGGAAACTGGTCATTTCAGTGTTTATCGTAAGGGATGAATGTAAAGCTGTTCAGATAGTAAAAAACATAAAGGGTTAAAACATACAAACCTAAAATTGAATGTAAAATTAAAGCTTTTTTCACTTTCCACTTAAACATTTCACTGAAGCTCACTTAAAATAAAGAGAAACACTTAAAGAGCCCATGTCCAGCATTCTTATTGTATTTTCCTCCACTGTGCTGTGTGTCACTGTGAGGCTGAGAGGCTGGTCAGTTGATGATGGAGTGACGTGAACACACACACACCGTTTGTGGACGGTGAAGCGGAGGGAGATATATATATATATATATATATATATATATATTTATATTTATATACAGAGAGAGAGAGAGAGAGAGAGAGAGAGAGAGAAAATCAGGATTCCAGCAAATAATAAATCAACTTTCAGAAACAACAGAAAATTAAAATATTGCAGTACATTTTTTGACAAAATCTGTTTTTGTTTTGTTTTTGTTTTTTTTTGGCAACAAATCATTAACAATAAAATCCTGTCCCACCCACAACTATTTCCCACCTGAGTATCCTGTTTCACTTGAAAATATGTCACATTAATAAAGAAAAATGCGTTCTGATTTCTGTTTACTTCACGTTTACTTTGTTTTTTGCGAAGATTCTGCTCCTCATGTGGTTTAAATCTAGGGTCATTCAGTGTACAGTGACCTCATGCGAGTCCGCACGTCACCGGTACGTTACCAATGTTTGAATAAACGTATAAAGTGCTCACTCCTGAATACCTGCAAGACCTTATTTCCCATTATGAGCCACCACGATTACTCAGATCACAGAGTGCTGGCTTTTTATTAGTTCCCAGAATTCAGAAGGTTTCATCTGGGGGAAGAGCCTTTTCTTATAAAGCCCCCAAACTCTGGAATGATCTTCCAGAAAATGTTCGGGACTCAGACTCAGTCGCAATCTTCAAATCTAGGCTGAAAACTCACTTGTTTAGTTCAGCTTTTGGTAGTTAATGTTCCCCCTTAGGTAAAGGCAGCAGATCCAGGGGTCCATGGACGCAGGGAATTATAGTAAACTGAGACGCTGGTGCTGTCGTCCCGCCGCTCGCACGCGATCACTCAGGTTTGTGGACGGTGGAGCGGAGGGATATATATATATATATAGAGAGAGAGAGAGAGAGAGAGAGAGAAAATCAGGATTCCAGCAAATAATAAATCAACTTTCAGAAACTACAGAAAATTTAAATATTGCAGTACATTTTTTGACAAAATCTGTTTTTGTTTTGTTTTTTTTTGGCAACAAATCATTAACAATAAAATCCTGTCCCACCCACAACTATTTCCCACCTGAGTATCCTGTTTCACTTGAAAATATGTCACATTAATAAAGAAAAATGCGTTCTGATTTCCGTTTACTTCACGTTTACTTTGTTTTTTGCGAAGATTCTGCTCCTCATGTGGTTTGTTATCATTTTCTTAATGATGATGGTAAATAAAGTGAGGCATCTTAAATTTTACAACGTCCTACATCATAGGTGGGTCTAGCCCTTTTTTAGGAGTCCCAGCACCCCTACATTGAGTCCCAGCACCGCTAAAAAATAAGAGTAAAAAGTCGTTCTTTAAAAAAAAAACGTAAGTGTGACTTTGTGGTGCTGTGGCTCCAGTCAGTAGCGCAGACGAGGATTTCTTATCACTCAGCGCCAAACATTACAGTCATTAGCAGCAGGCCTCATTTCTGAGTACTGAATAACAGATCACTGTTTATGTTGTTATCCTTAGCTATCTGGTGTTTTTTTATTCAACAAGCTGATGTTGCAGGTTGTCATTCAATGACTGTCCACTGTTTGAATTCGAGTGAGAGAAGCTGGCTGCTGTATCATTGGTAGGCCTATGTGTTCATATTAAAGCCAAGGTGCCACACTAGGACTGTCTGTATCTGTATCAGCTAATTAATGTTACAGAATGATAGAAGATATGATGAGAAAAAAAATGTCTGGTTTCATTGATCCTAGAATCGCCCCTGCCCTACATGCACCTCTCTGCCATGAATGAAATTAAAGAATATGTATTAAGCCTAAAACTATTGCACAACAATGTCTCAGACATCATGCAGCGCATTCATAACCAGTTCATGTAATCATTTTCTGTGAGGGAGCTTTTAGAGGTGGATGTCTGGTTCCTATCACCACCACTGTGAACAATTCTGACTCGGTAAGTTTCTCTAAAACAAAGTGTTTCACACCAAACCACTCTGAATGACCTCATATCTTAGCCATTTAGTTCTGCAGAAATATAGAAAAATCAGTGGACTTCCCCTTTAACATCATAAAACTGAAAGCAGGGCAGTGATGCAGAATGATGAGAACAGCTGGCCCTAAAAACAAAAACAGACCGACAGAGTAAATCACGCCACATTTCCATTTCGCAAACTCTTCTAAGTAAACGACGCAGTGATGTGTTCCTAAGGTGAGCTTAGTGTTGACATTTCAACCTCATAAAGTCTGTGCTAACATTTACAACAGCAGGGCTCGAACTGGACTAAACCTAGGGTCATTCAGTGTACAGTGACCTCATGTCCACACGTCACCGGTACATTACCAATGAGTGACCTGAATGTTTGAGCAAGATACACTGTATGGCCTAAAGTATGTGGACATGTGACCATCACACCTATATGAGCTTGATGGACACCTCAATCCCAAAACCATGGAGTTGCCCTCCTTTGCGGGTCATAACAGCCTCCGCTCTTCTGGGAAGCTTAACACAAGATTTTGGGCTGTGTCTGTGGGCATTTGTGAGGTCAGGCACTGATGTTGGACGAGATAGCCTGGCTCACAATCAAAGTTCCAGTTCATCCCGAAGGTGTTCAGTGGGGATATGGTCAGGGCTCTGTGCAGGCCACTGGAGTTCCTCCACACCAAACTTTTTGGAGTCTTTATGGAGCTCGCTTTGTACACAGAGGCTCAGTCATGCTGGAACAGGAAAGGCTCTTCCCCAAACTGCTGACACAAAGCTGGAAGCATAGAATTACCTAAAATGTCTTTGTGTGCTGTTGCATCGACATCACCTTTCACTGGAACTAAGGGGCCCAAACCCCAACAAACAGCCCCAGTCCATTATCCCCCCTCCACCAAACTTTACTGTTGGCACTATGCATCCTGGCAGGTAGAGTTCTCCTGGCATCCACCAAACCCAGACTTGTCCATGAGACTGCCAGATAGTGAAGCATGATTTATCACTCCAGAGAACACATTTCCACTGCTCCAGAGGCCAGTGGCGGCGTTCTTTACACCCCTCCAGCCACGCTTGGCTTTGCACATAGTGATCTTAGGCTTGTGTTCTGCTGCTCGGCTATGGAAACCCATTTCGTGAAGCTCCTGATGAACAGTTCTTGTGCTGATGTTGCTTCCAGAGGCTGTTTGGAACTCTGTAGTGATCGATGCAACAGAGGGTAGATGATTTGTATGCACTACGCGCTTCAGCCCTCAGCATCCCCTCCCTGTGAGTTTGTGTGCTCTTCGTGGTTGAGCTGTTGTTGCTCCTAGACGCTTCTGTTTCACAGTAATAGCACTTACAGTTGACTAGGGCAGATCTAGCAGAGCAGGTATTTCATGAAATGGCTTATGGCAAAGCTCCTGTGACAGTGCTATGTGTAAAGTCACAGGCAATCTGATTGAATACATTCCTATTATTGATTAAGAGTGAGGTGTTTATGCTCACTCTACTCAACAATCTGATGGAATATCTCTATTTACATCCACACAACAAGTAATTATAAGTAAAATAAAATTATGCACATGCATTGAGAACCACTTAGTGTAGATGTTCCCATGACAACAAGCATCACGTGAGTCCAGTCAGAGTGAGATGAGCAGCAGTGAGCAGTGCTTGTGTTTTTAAATTACTCAGGAAAACGTCCTTCACATGTCTTTATTAAGAAGGCCGAGAGGAAGACGTCGAGACACATAAGCTGGACGTCCGTCCCACCGCCGTCTTTTAAAGATCAGAGCATAAACTTCGTCTCCTCTGCAGACCAGTTTCTGCTCCACCATGTTGAACGGTATAAACTTTCTTGCTACTTGCTATGACGTGACGAACATGATCAGAATGGACTTAAACTTTCTGACTGGGAATGTATTCAGATACAGGCATGTACATGGTTATTATTCTTCTGCTTAACTGATTATTTACAGGATTACCCACCTCGTTCAATCGGATAGAAACTGTATTCCGAATGGCCTCAATCAGACTAGTGTATTCCCACTGAGGTGTTTACATGGACGTATTCTGTTCTTATTGAGCTATTAGTCAGATTACTAACGGATTATCAGGCTGCATGTAAACGTGGCTACTGAGCGCTTCAGTGCCCATTTTACTGCCAATGTTTGTCTATGGAGACTGCATGGCTATGTGCTTGATTTTGTACACCTGCTAGCAGTGAGTTTGGCTGAAACAGCTGAACTCAATAATTAGGAGAGGCGTCCAAGCAGCCTACGCATCGGCTACACATGGTCGTTTTAGGGTCTGACATGTTTTGTTGATTTTCTAAGTGAAAATAAGTTCACACATCCTCTACAGGGGACACTCTTAAACTGACATTTCTTATCTTAGCATTAATGCTAATTACTTATTGTTATTACTATTACTTATTATTATTTGTATTATTACTAATTACTTATTATTATTAATTAATGAATTATGCAGCTGGTAC